CTTTGTGAAATTAGGTTTCATTTCCGAAGGGGTCAATTTGCAACCCATTTTGCCTGTACTTGCCAAAGTTTTTGATCAGGCACTTGAAGGTGGGGGAGCAAAAAATCTCAACTTTCAAGAGCTGGCAGCAGATTTGGCACAAATAACATTTGATTATCCATTTAGAATACCACCCTATTTTGCTTTAATAATTCGAGCAATAGGCGTGCTGGAGGGCATTGCGTTGGTGGGAAACTCTGATTTTGCTATTGTGGATGAAGCTTATCCATATATAGCACAGGTACACGCATACTGTGCCATTGTTCATTTATCCTCATATTCTTTCATTCACATGTCTCATTTACATGGATTCAGATTGCTATAATTGCGTGAAACAACAATTGCCATCTTTGCAAGCGTAATGCAGTGTTAGCTGATAGCATGGTTTCACAATTGCAACATACTAATCTTGGAGACTAAATTTGGTTATGCATTTGGGTCTTACATGGGAGGCTGTCGAACACCATTGATAATGTCTTTAACCTACTTATACAATTCCTGTTTTACTCAAAATAGTTTAAATTTGGGTTGTAGAACTCATTTAAGTCTATGGTACTAATATAAGCAGGAAATACTTCCCAATATGTTACTCCTTTGGTCCTATATTAGTTCTGCATCTTCCTCTTTTGTCCATCCTATGAATTGGTCATTTTCATTAAAAGAAACCTTAAGCCATTATTATTCTATGAGATAAAGATTTTACATGGGACCCATATTTTTTGCTTTTCATGACTCTTTTCCTTTTCTGTTCTTTACAAGCTAGAAAGCCACTCCCAAACACCACATATTGTGCCCCTTTTAACACTAGAATAGTATACATTTTTAGCTCTTCTTGACACTCATGCCGATCAATGGTGGGATATTCAATTTGAGATGGAGGGGTCACTATCTTGTGACAAATTTACTTTTGTAGGTAGACAGCAGAAATGTATAACAGATGAATCACTTTATGATAGAGGACCTTTGCCGAAACAGACTCTTCAACTCCTGAATTTTACTGTGAGATTGAGATGCTCAATAAATAGTTTCTTTTAGCGCCCCAAATATTATGGTATGCTTTATTAATATTAATAGTAATGTTGAAGTTTTCAGTCCATTTGTTGTCATGTGAGTCCATGAAATTATTGGAGTTAGTGAATCTATTTAAATCTGTTCATCAATTCCATGTCCTCGTCCAACAAGATGAACTTGTGTCCCTGTCATTCATTAAAATGACAAACTATTATACGAAGGTAGTAGCATGGACCTTTGTCTACTACACCGCTTGTGATAAATGATACTCCTATAACTCATCTGGAAGCTTAAACTTTGGAGGAGATTTATTCAATGATTTGGCTCTGCAAAACTTAGTTCCTTCCTTCAGGTGTCACTTTTAGATAATTTGAATTCTCATTGTTTACACTGTGCATTTTCTTTTCCTCAGAGACTGCTAACGGATGAATCTCCACGGTTACGGAATGCTTTACGTTACACAATATATGGGAAATCTGGTGTGTTTGATGCTGAAAGATTCATAGATGTCATGCAAGCATTTGAGAATTTCATAACTGCAGCTAAGAGCGGAGGTGGGGAGAGTTTGAATGGGAGAATGGCAGAGCTTGGCATTCTGCAAAGTCAAACAAATAGCATTATTCCTTTTCCTTCAAGTGCTTATCAGGCAGATCAGCCAGTTCAAACCAGAGCTGCATTAGCATTTCTGCTCTCTGATAAAGGGAATTTTTTCCGTGAATTCCTTTTGGATGAGGTATGTGTACAGATTTGAGAACAGTCACTATTGTCTCCTTGACAGATGATGTTCTTTCTAGTCGCATACTTAATTCATATTCTAGTCATACATTCATGCTCCTGACCCATTTTTAGTGTCGTAATTTGACTAGGCATGATTTTATGGCAATAGAACTGGAGATAAAATTTACTTAGGATCTTCTTTTTTGATAACTGTGGTGTCCGGGTTAGTTTGCGCGCACCTCGACTAATTTCAAGGGATACCTGCTATCTCCCACCAGCACAGTTATCAGATAACTCCGCCCACCAAGGCTTGCCAGACGGGAAGAAATCACCTAGCGTTTTTCCTCTGTTGGAATTTGAACTGAGACCTCATGGTTCTCAACCCACTTCATTGACCACTAACCACGCCCTTGGGTGCTTAAAATTTACTTTAGGAATTTAACCCTGTTCTGCATAGAAGTGAGTCCAATTGACATATTCTTTTACTAAGATTTCGAAAAGGTATTGAACGGTATATGGAAACTTTTCCCTTTCAGGAAAGTGAATACACCTTTAGGACAGAAAAGTAAGATAGTCATTTGTGACTCTGGAAGTTTTAATTTGCATTACGTGTAAGTGATATGAGTAGCATCTGCTTTGCAAATGTACTTCAATTGACCACTGCTTTGCTGTAATGTCTAGTAGATTCACTTGCTTTCTTGTCCTTTATGTCTGAACCATTACCTAAATATATTCCTCAGTATGCTTTCTGTGTAGTAGCTGATTCCATTTCTCTCTCATACACAATACGGAACCAATATTAGAAATCCCGGTCTCAGTTATCAGAAGATTATAAGAAAGTGCTGTCAAAAATCCCATCTGTTCTTATATGATAATATGATAACACTTTTGTTGTATATTTTTGCTATGTGTCTTCTTGATGCCATTTAATGAAGTTATCTTACTTCATCAAAAAAAAAAAAAATATTTGGTGGGACCATATATGTCTGGGATTTCAACTGCATAATTTTCTTCTTCATGCAAGCAGATAGTGAAGGGCATCGATGCATTAACAAGGGAGCAGATGGTGCAAATAATGGCATTCCTTGGAATTCGAAATGCAATTCCAGTATTCAGTATGGTTCCTGCTTTCGTACCTATTAAACCTGCTGCACTTGTACCATCAGTAACTGAGGAGGACAGAGTCATATTAAACAATGTTCAAAAAGTTGTTCAATTCTTAACTGCTGGGACTGCATCAAACCAGGTATTTCAATTTTATTCTATGACAAGTTATCTCCAAGGAAGAATTAAGTAATTCACTCAGCACACAACACAAGAAAAGAGGTTGCTCCGATGTTTTTACCTCTGGGCAGACAAATTGCAATTGCTCTGCACAAGGGTTAGTTAAGCATTAAATCATGTTACTAAGGTCCTGTTTCATTATGAATTGATAATTGGTAACCATGGTATCTACATGGAAAAGAATTCTTTGTTTGTGGTTGTGGCCGTTGTGGGTGGTAGTGTATAGTGATATTGTGCGAGAGACATTCTCCCCGAAGACTAGGATTCTTGCTTCTGAATCATCAAAGCCGATGTTTAAAATCATCTGCTGACGGAAATTCCTGAGATTTCCTACTCCCATAAATGTTTTAGATGTGTCTCGTGAAATCTTAACTCCTCTGAGTGTGCTAGAGTCAACTTTTTGTTGACAATTTATTGGTTTAAAAAACATAACTAGCTTGGGCTATCATAACACTTCACAAGCAGGTTAAAGAAAAAAAGACAAAATATATACCAGGGTACGTGTTGGTTTTTTAAAAGATGGGGCAGCAATAATATTAAAAATATTGATTGAAAATGTCTCTACTTTTTTATTAAACATAGAGGGTTTTAAATAGCCAACGTGAGAACATAATCTGCAGAAAAACCTGCATAAGAATAATTTAAAAATCCCAAAATATCTCAACAAACCTAAAAAATCTAACAGAAATTTAAATTTAAAGAAGTAGATTTATCCTAAAACTAAGCTAACTTATTATGCTAAAAGATTGCTAACAGTAACTGAAGCAAATCATCAACAGTACGGCTTGCCATGGAAAATGGATTATGTATGCATAAGAAGTTAAAACAATACTTGAAGTCTTACTGATCTAAAACACTAATTAGTGATATTACAGTATATCTGAATTCGAACTCATGGGGAACTTAGATTCTTAGTAATTTCATTTTGTTGATGTTGTATATACTATGTTGCTCGGGTTCTCAAAAAATACCGCCGGGTGTGTGTCGGATCCTCCAAAAGCAATGCCTTTTTGGAGGATCTGACATGAGCAACATCGGTTGTATATGTAAGGTGTACCGAATCTTGGACAAAAATAGCTCAAGTTAACTAAAGTGCTGCTATTTAATATAGGTTATCTACTGTAAAAGCATCATAACTGTATTTCTTTCTCAGGGTTTGGAGGGAGCTACTGTTCCCAGAGTGATCCAGGAGCTTCTCCCAGTGCTTCCAGGCTTCTCGGCCAAGGTTCTTCCCGAAATTCTTAGTCGACTTTCTTCTCGTGTAATGGCACGCTTGATACGAGATGCACTTTTGTAATTTTGATACTCTTAACCTTACAGTTTCCCCTTCCTGAATTGTGCATATGAGTCACAAACTTGAGAGTACGTAGAAATAGCAAAAATGTATTTATTGTGCCCTTAGTGTGGGTTTACCAATCATACTGACAAGTATAGCTTCTGTAATATATCAGAACAGATGTAAAGTTCCATACACTGAAAGAATATGATACTAACAGCAATTCCCTTACAATTCCCTTACAATCTGTACGATTTCTCTGGTTCCATATACTGCAAGTTATTGAATTATAAATGTGGTAAAATAGGTAATTGTAATACAAATTTGCAGGAGGCCTTTAGTACTCGTATTCTGTGGTGGTATGCCTATGTGGTTGGCTACATTGTAATCTCATCACCTACTACGAGTCTGAACCTTTATATTAACCCGCTAGGTTTCAAAAATTGGTAAAGAATACATACATTTTTCTAGTAAAACTGGAGTTGATCCTATAGAAACTGCGGAGGACATGCACCTAACTTCAATTCCAGAGCATTTAACAAGAATATATGATTGATCCTTATAATTCTAACATTAACTTAGTTCAGTGTAGATTTGTACATCTCCTTGATCCCTTCTCTTTGATTCAGATTGTGGAGTATTTAATTCACAATGTAGACAGGAGAGAAGAGGCTTAAACGAGAGAAAAAAATTATACAAAATCAGCAGAATCCCAAGAATATGGGGAGAAAAAGATAAACCCACTGTTAAAACAGTTCAGACCTTACTGAATTTATTTATACATGTAAAAGAACAAAAGTTTTAAGACATGCCCACCAGATATCATAGGCAAAATCTAATAGTTACATCATGTGAAAAAAGGAAGAGACTGGTTGCCTGAAGCATATGAAATGATCTTCCGCTTAAGCGGTGAGATATATTGTGCTCCGTTGAATGCAAGAGCCCTTAGAACATTTATTGGCATGAAATCAACAGAATATGCCTTCTGAAAACCATCTAGGACTGCCATCATTGTAATGTTTGCAGTTTTCCTCTCTGATTCATATCTCTTTAAAAGAGCCACCTGCGCATAACGCAGATTAAGACTAGTATTAAAACAACCATGCAACGGAGAAAAAATTAGAAAGCGAGCAATATGAAAAATGATGCCCGTAGAATGTAAGGCCAATAAATACTTGCATTACAATTTTATAGCTAAAATTGATATACATTGTAGATGAAAATCAATAGCACATGCTTTTACTTTACAGGTCTTTCTTTTATTGCTGAATAGCTTTTCCCAAATTAGTTAGCATTTTGCTCAACGGTTAGAAGAGGAGCCTTGGCATAACTGGTAAAGTTGTTGCCATGTGACTAGCAGGTCACGGGTTCAGGCTGTGGAAACAGTCTCTTGCAAAAATGCAGGGTAAGGTTGCATACAATAGACCCTTGTGGTCAGGGGCGGAGCTACAGTAGTGGGTGCGGGTTCGGGCGAACCCAGTGACTTTTTCCGGAACCCTGTATTTGTATTGAAATATTTATTAAATCTATATAAATATATACTGCTGAACCCAGTAACAAAAGGTGTCTTGGTTCAATGGTAAGGGTTGTGGGTTCGCTGGAAAAGATGGGGGTTCGATTCCCCCTGGAAGCAATGTTTTATTTTAAAATTTAGAACCCACACTTAAATCCCTGGCTCCGCCTCTGCTTGTGGTCCGGCCTTTCCCCGGACCCCGCACATAGCGGGAGCTTAGTGCACCGGGCTGCCCTTTGCTCAATCTTTTCAATAACCAGCATTTTTCTCAATCTTTTCTGGTTCAAGAGTACAACAACAACAAACCCAGTATATTCCCACATGTTCGGCACATAGTGGGAGCTTAGTGCACCGGGCTGCCCGCATTTTTCTCAATCTTTTCTGGTTCAAGAGTACAACAACAACAACAACAACAACAAACCCAGTATATTCCCACATGTGGGGTCTGCGGAGGGTAGTGTGCACGCAGATCTTACCTCTACCTAGTGAAGGTAGAGAGGTACCTAGCAAAGGTAGAGAGGTTGTTTCCAATCGACCCTCAGAAAGGTAGAGGAGATTTTCTGGTTCAAGATTAATCGAGGAAATTTATAGCAGATCACTTGGCGAGTTTTAAAGCCAAATATATTTGTGAGCAAATTGAAGGAAAAGAAAATTTAATCTTCTGAGTGATTCTAGATTACACCAGAATAAAAGAAAACTTAAGCCATTTACTTTCGCTATTAATATTTAGAGAGAAAGGAAGGATTATGGACATACCTCTCCAATGTCAGATCCGACAGCAACACCTTCAGCAATGACTTTACAAAGAGACAGAGCATCTGCAAATCCCATATTAACTCCCTGGCCAGCCAGTGGATGAACCGTATGTGCTGCATCACCAACAAGAACGAGACGTTTTGATGCATAGCTATTAGCATGCATTAAAGACAAAGGGAAGACCAATCTCTGAGAGGCTAGCTTAGTAACTTTCGGTGGAACTTCAAAGCCCTCATGTGTTGATGGGACGTCAGCTTTGAACCAAGAAAATAGATTTCCACCCTCGAACAATTTGGATTGTGGATGAGGACCATATCCACTGTCCAGTGCGTGGTTCACTGCTTTTACAAAGTCATCCTCTGACATTGAATTCCGGTCAACAGATTCCTTGGGGTCCATTGTCCAAACAATATTGCTGAAATTTTCACCAATGGGCAAAAGTGCAATTGGACCATTAGGAAGAAACCTTTGCCAAGCACAGTAGTTCTCTTCTGCATGTTCTACTGTACAGATGATTGCGCTCTGTGAGTACTTCCATCCAGTTGTTTGTATTCTTGCCAGCTCCCTAACACATGATTTTGACCCATCAGCTCCAACCTGTGACATGTTATTTAACTCATTACTTGTACTGAAGAGATCCTTCAAAATATTCACATTACATGAAATATAAAACAAGTCGAGTTTACCACTAACTTCGCATATATGCTGTTCCCATTATCCAGTTCTAACCTTGCTGAACTTCCACAAGCGGATGATGATGTGCCACTGGAACTTGTCATTGAAGACTTTGAGGGGAAGGTTATTGAACTTAACCTGGAAGAGTATATTGTCTTCTGAAAATCTGTATCCTGCCAAATTTTCACCTCTAGTCAAACATTGTCGCCAGGCAGTCATTGGCAAAAATTAAAATAGGGAATGCCATGGAGTTCCAATTAAATACTAACAAGCACAAATTAGAACAAGAAATAAAAAGCTTTAGCTTCCCCTGTCACACCAATCTATTACTCATATTCTGATGGTAAAAATGACTACACAGTTTTCAGGTAACACCAACAATCCTGTTGGAGCATCTTTGTAGTTGGGCTTTTGGGTTTCTATACCAAAGTAGTCTAAGTCTCACTCTCACAACGACATAAACATGGACAATTTTGATCTGAGATGCACATGTTAGGTACGGAATTACGAAATGATGTCAAGAATATTCGGTACAACAGAAAACCACGTGTAAAAGGAACTTCAGGACCACACTGGTTAAAGAAAGGCCTTGAATCAGACACTGATACATCATACACCATCACCACTAAAATGTCCTTGAAACAAGATTTTAAAAAGTAATAATTGTATTGATCCAAATAGATTAGATACAGGTTACACGTATATAAAGACAGCCTACACAAAATATGGTTCTTCAGAAAAGCACCCAAACATGGTGTAAGGTGGTATACAAAGATAAAAAGCCCACTTCCTTGAAATAGATTTGTAGCAAGTTGTTTAACAACAACATCTACGCTTCAGTCCGAAGCTAATCGTGGTCGATTATATGAATCCTTCCTCACTATCCATGTCGCTCCATTTAAAACCATGTCTTACAATAGTCAACAAGTTAGGTTCTCTGACACTAGAAGTTCTCTGTATTATCTAGTGACATACAAATCTCTGATAAGATTAAACAAACTCCTAGCAAACATTAGACCTAATGTATCAGTGGAGTTGTGACCACTAGACTGCAGCTGCAATCTCAAGAATACAGGAATCAAACATGTTTTTAACTGCAAAATAGAGTTTTAGTCTGTATGCTCAAATACCTGTATGCACGACAATAGGGATTTGTGTAACACCTTATTCTCCACGACGCACCTAAAAAAACACAAGCAGCTATCATATGGAAACAAGAGCGTCATAATTATGAAAGAAATCTATTACCTCAATAAAGGAATTCTTACCCGAGAACATCTGCATCAACATCTCTTGCATTGTACTTTGTATAGCCGAGACCAGTATAATCCCAGACCTATAAAAGAATAAATTGCTGAGGGATCAAAAGTCTAAAAAAATTCCATGACTGAATCCCATCGGAATGAGGACAGTTCAGATGTCAAGATGGAATGTGTATCAAGGCACTTAGCAATTATCAGTATCTTTAGTCCCATCAAGACAAATTTTAATACTCAGAAGCAACAATTTCCTAGGTTAAACATGAAGACTTTTCTTGATAAATACATGAGAAGAAGAAATTGGTAGCAGCAATTTCGTCCAACCTTTACAGTATTGAAAACAGGGATATCTTGATGGTTGAAAGTGCATAGGCAGCTGAGAAGTAAAGCATGACAAATTTAACAGTTTTAGCTAAGACGTACTTTTCATTTACTTTAAGTGTCTCTTAGTTAAAAGCTATCCATGTTACTGTCTGCTGCCATACCATGACAAGGATGAGTAGGGAGAGAGAGAGAGAGAACAAGATTCAAATAACCAAATAAAAACATTTCCTTAGCATACATTAGGAACAGATCCATAACATAAAATGTGTAAATCTTAATCGCTATAATTTGAGAAAGTAGTCACCGCAAACTTGTACACATTGAAAAATCTGCTACTTGGCTCACATCGTTGAAAGTTATTTAGGGAGACAGAAAAAAGATGTCAAAGAGCACGTTTGCGGTATGGTATGATACATTCCTTATGCTGTAATAAACTTCCGATATGCATGAATATGAGAATATAAATGACAGTGCTCCAAAGAGAAGAACTCGAGGAACACATAAATGGATTAACTAACAGATATATATTGCACTAAACTAAACCTTCCCCTGCACATGATAAAAAAAATGACTGTAGAGAGTTAATACTAGGTGATGGTGCTTTCAGGTCTTTATATCAACACTAAGTCCCTAATATTTGCATTACAATAATTATTGTAAAAATACTATAAATTACTCCTAACAGAACTTACAAGAATGAACATAGTTAACAAAATTACCTGCATTTTATCAAAGTAAGCATGACGGTGATGTTGAACAAACTTCCATGCACCCATATCTGTAACATAGTTTAATTCAACAGGTTATGAAGTTTTCATGCAAATCAAACATGTTTAAGTAGACTGTAGCAACTTCTGGTACACTGAATTATTGATAACCGATAATTCCCCAAGGACCAATGGCACACGGTTCCAAACTCGGTGGATAATAGGTCCACTCCTCTATTCTTTTCCACATACACTAAATTAAATATGAAGAAGTAATGGTAATATTATCTTTAGGTTATGGTATGCAAAGATGACGAGAAACGAGACATATATAGTTCAGAAACCACGGGGAAGGCTGCGAACACATGAGAACAATGGCAAAGCTCAAGGTAGTCAGGTAAAACTCAGTCCCAAGGCATAGTTGGAGTTGTTGTACGGAAAGCATAGATCTATGCTTGGCATGGAGGCAGAGGAAATTAATATAAAGGGAAGTGGAAATTTTTCTCTTCCTTGCTTAGTTCAACAAAAGAAAAAGAAGAAAGCAGAGAGAGAATAAAATCTTGTTTATGGCCCGACCAAGTTCTCTCTATTCTTCAAATTTTCCTCCTTCTGTTGTTCATTTTCGCTTACTTCCTAATTCCCAAACCGCAGCATAAGTTTCTTGGCAGCATGATATCTGTTCACATGCGTGTGTTGCCTGCATAAAAAGAGGCTTCTGTAGGAGCCAAAAATCCTAGTCATTTTACTTTTTCTGATGACTTGTGAAAACTGACTACCGTTTTCAAGCAGGTGAAAGGGGCTCTCTTTCAACTGGAAAAATAAAATTCAAGTAGTTGATTGGTGGCAAGTTCACAACTCACAAGGTCCATCAACTCTATATGTCAGCAAGGAAGACTCTCACAAAATGGTTAACCAAGAACGGCAACCACCCCGCATGTTATACATCATAGCGCCAACCATGAACCCGTACTTTGGGCCTAAGGCAACTTATAGAGAAGATATTTGATAGACGCGATGGACCCATAAACACTTCTAGTAAGACATTCAAAGCCCTTGTCTTTTTCTTGATGTGAGACGATGATTAGGGCCATTTGACTTTTTTTTCTGTTAACACACAAAATTTTATGGATATATCATGGGCAAAACCAATTTCTCCACAGAAACATAGGCTCACTACTTGATTGTCCAACTATCCACAAGGTAACAAGTGTGTAGATTCTATGTAATTAGCTCGGAACCGTTTGTCACCCCTTGGACCATCAAGCTAGTTGATGTAATCGACCATGTTCGTCTAAGCCAACAACAGCAAAAAGAGCATCTAAGATGCAAATGAACCCTCATGGCGGTAAATTAGCAAGCATATTTAGACAAAACCACTAGATTTCGACCCCCAACAGATTTAGGAAGATCACCTATCAATCAGCATAATGTTTTTCTATCGACAGACTGAACCCTTTGTGATGGTTAGCACTGAAATTCAAATCTAATACCCATACAAATTGTTGCCATTTTCGACTCTGTTCTCCTATAAAATCAGTGAGAGTAAACCTTAACGGAAGAAAGAAAAGGAGTGAAGACATAGATCCAATGAAGGAGTGGAGACAGAGGAGTATTTTATCCAACTTCAATTGAGAAGAAACACAGGAGGCATCACATATGCTTCTTCTGATTCGCCAAGAAATAAACATCACACGGGTCTTTCATCTTTTACTGAACATTTTTCAATTGCTTTACCAGTACGAGGATTTCATCAGCATTTTCAGCATATAAAAGAAATCTTCCCTTCTATATGCAGCCAGTTAATGAAATGAAGAGACAACAGATTAAACCATTTAAAGTACAGACAGAAACCTCCGGGAATAGCAATATAGAAAGATAAGTACTAGGATACCTCTGAAGAAAGAAATGGTTGCAGGTGTGACCGTACTGACCCGTGCATCTGGAGGGTCCTCTTTCTTGATGTGAAAATTATTCACCAACGCAGGATTACTGTCAATGATGGCAACATTTAGTTGCTTTGTCAATGGCATAGTTGCTGCACAATAGTTTACGAGTTATGAAGAGTTATCATGTTGAAAACACTGTTTAGTTTGGTAGACTAGATACTCAAATAATTCACATACCCATGACCATTTGTTACCATTATTTCATCTTCTGTCCCCAGGGGTTGATAAACTTACTTTATATAGACTAGTCAACTATTTACCACAGGCTGATTAACATTGCAGGTAATCACTAGCAGGGGCAAGCTTTCAAGAAAAACACAGAGTAGCAAATGCAAATCGAGCATACGACTGGAATTTCTAATAAAGGATTTTCTAGACCATCTCAAGTTTCAATTACTATAGTAGAGGACACCTTCAGCAGTATTTAAGCGTTAAAACTTCCCATTCCAAAGAGGTTAAACGAAATTGTACTTACCTAAGGAGCATGCTAGAGCCATCCCGACCATACCACCTCCAACAATAGCAATATCATATTGGGGTATGTCATCTGTTAACTCAGGCTCGGTCAAAGAGAACTTTTCCTAACATAAGAAATTTTGAAAAGCAATTCGTATAAAGTCAATCACGAAAACCATAAGAAAGCCGAACATATTGATATATCATAGTACAAGAATATACCTTATCACTGACCAAACCAGGAATTTTAACACCTGTATTACTGCATAAAGTCCTGTGCACAGATCTGAGTCCATGAATGTTCGACGCAATTCTTCTGGCAACAGATAGCCTATTACAGGCATATGACAAATGATCAAATATGACAAAATGTTGTATACTTCACTGTCAGCACCTACTAAAAGGTACTTCTTCTAAAATTGCCATGTGTACTACAACAACAATGTGGAATAAATATGCGAGACTGGAGTTGATCTAAACAGTGATATAAACAACACTGCACTCTTTCATGAGTAAATTCTCAATCTCCTGTTAAAAGAGAAAGAAAAAACAATTGACAGTTTTCCGAGAAACTTACAGAATAAAAGAATGCATACCCAATAACATGAAATCACATACACATATCCAAACGTGCAGCTTTTCCAAATACTGCCTAAAATTCCAAACTTTGAAAAAATCTTACAAGAATATACAAAAGAATTTTTAAAAATAAACAGAAAAAAGAAAGAAAAGTCAAGTGACAAATTTCAAGAAAACACACAGAATTAGAAGTATGCATACCAACAACATAAAAACACATACACATACCTATGTTGATGTTCTAACATTCATAAACAGGAAAGAGAAAAACAATCAACGAGGAAGTCATTATTTTGGTATACAATTATCAGAAAAGATCTTTCTTAAAATTATCTTAACATTTTCCCGGACTCCCGAGAACATTTCCATGAAAAATGACACACACACACGCCCCAACATGCAGCTGATCCAAATACTGCCTAAAATTCCAAACTTGGGAAAAACATTACAAAAAAAAAACACAGAATAACTTGATATCTCAACTCCAAATCACTCCCTCAAAGCTAGATGTTTACTCAATCTTTTTAGTTGGACAGAGTTAAACCCTGTAATTAGTACTGATCATTTTTTGGACTTTGTTAGATCCCTAATTATAGCTTGATATATTGTTATGGAGCTAACTGCTTTTTACTTCCTCTGTACGGTTCTACTATAGCATCTTCCCAATGCCTTCTTTTAATGAAACACCTTACTTCATAAAAAAAACACAGAATGAAAAGCAATCACATACAAATACCTATATTGAAGTTCTAACTGTCATAAATTTCAGGAAAAGAAAAAATCAATCTTGATAATAAAATTCATATGGGGTATGTTTTAACTAACTGTAATACAAATTGAATGTTTCTATATGTAAGTTATAAACAGATCAATTTGTTTTGAATTTCTGAAAAATACATGAAAGAAAATTGCGGTACCTGTTCATGCTTGCTATGTTGCTACGTGGAGGAGCAGAAGAAGAAGAAGAAGAAGAAGAAGAAGAAAAAGAAGCAATTAATTTGCTTAACACTTGTTTTTGAGAATTTGCAGACAGTTTTATTCGGCCAATTTAGTCTAGGCCCAAATCTGCTGGATTAACATCTAAGCCCAATGTTGGGGGAAAAAAAAGTAGAAATGACACTAGGCAGCCACTCTAAAGGGCTGCTATTTAAGAATTAACCAATACATCTTGAATTTTAGCTTTTGAGTTCATATTTTCGGGATAAAAATATCCTGAATTATTCTGAATTTAAGATTTTTAGTTTAAAATTTCAGGGCAAAATAAGCACTGGTTAATCTCTAAGTAGCATCCCTGAAAATGGCTACATGTTCACTTGCCACGGAAAAAAATCAGAAATAACCTGATTTACAACTGCTAATCAGAAAGAATTGAACTTTGGATTCAATGTATCACTTATCCTCTGATATGGAATCTCCTTGGCTTGTTGGAGGAGATTTCAATGTGATTCTATCAAAGGAAGAGAAATATGGGGGCCGGCATGTGGTGAGTGAAGTTGAAGACTTTGCACATTGTGTGGACACATGTGCATTATATGATCTTGGCTTCAAAGGGAGCATGTATACTTGGAAGAATGTGAGGTCTGACATTGATTGCATCTTTAAGAGGCTTTATAGGTTCTTTGCAAATCAACAGTTCTTAGATTTATTCCCAGCATTGGAGGTTCAACACTTGATCAAGTATGGTTCTGACCATGCCCCTCTCATGTTGTCTTGCAACATTGACATTGTCCAAGTTAAGAAACCATTTAAGTTTTTAAACTTCTGGACCAAGCATGAATCTTTTCTGAAGGCGGTGAAGGATAATTGGGTAGCTGATTCCATGGGGAACCCTTTCATTTTATTCCAAAGTAAGCTAAAAAAGGTGAAGACAACATTGGCAGCTTGGAGCAATGAGACATTTGGAGATATTTTCAAACAAATTGCAGCATTGGAGGATATTATTAAGGTACATAAGATTGAATTTGAATTGAATCCAACAACTCAGAATAGAGCTAAGTTACACAAAGTAGAAGCTGACCTTACAAGGTATTACCATCTTAAAGAAGAATTTTGGAGACAAAATGCTAGAATGCAGTGTTTTAAGGATGGTGATATGAACACTAAGTTCTTTCATGCTCATGTGAGAGGCAAGAGGAAAAGGTTGCAGGTGTCCAGAATCTTGGACAAAAATGATAATTGGCTTGAATCACAAAAAGATATGGCAAGGGATGCAGTAGAGTTTTTCCAGGCTCAGTTCACAGAAGAAAGAATTTCTACTAACTGTGATACTATTCAGCATGTTCCTAGGATAGTGTCTCAGGATCAGAATGCAAAGTTGTGGGATGAACCAACTATGGAGGAGGTTAAGGCAGCAATTTTTGGATTGAAAGGGGATAGTACAAGTGGTCCAGATGGATTCACTGGCCAGTTTTATCAAGCTAGCTGGGAGGTTGTATGTGATGATGTGCTCAATATGGTTAGAGCCTTCTTTTGTGGTGCAGAACTACCAAAGTTCATCACTCACACAAAACCTTGTATTGCTTCCAAAGAAGAAGAATGTTGCTACATTTTCAGACATGAGGCCAATCAGTTTGAGCAATTTCTCCAACAAGATCATACCTAGAGTGATCCATGAGAGGTTAGTTGAGCTTTTGCCTTCTTTAATTTCTCCTAATCAAGCAAGTTTTGTCAAAGGAAGAAGCATTGTGGAGAATATCTTGTTAACTCAAGAGATCATCAAAGATATTAGATTGAGAGGGAAGCCATTTAATGTAGTAATCAAATTGGGCATGGCAAAAGCTTATGATAGAGTCTCATGGCTATTCTTGACAAAGGTACTAAGGCAGATGGGATTTGGTGAGATTTTTATTGATATGATATTCAGACTAGTCTCAAACAACTGGTACTCAATACTTCTTAATGGGCAGGCCAATGGTTTCTTCAAATCATCTAGAGGTGTTAAACAAGGGGATCCACTTTCTCCTACATTGTTTATTCTAGCAGCTGAAGTGCTTGGGAGAACTTTAGATGCATTGTTTGACAACCCAGATTTCATAGGCTTTGGCATGCCAAAGTGGAGTCAAAACATTAACTATCTTTTCTATGTTTGATGATACTATTATCTTCTGTTCCTCTCACTATGGAGCAGTGCAGCTTATCATGTATGTATTAGAGGAATATGAGGCAGCTTCAGGTCAGAAGATCAACAAGGAAAAGTCTTCATTTTATATGCATGAAGGAGCTCAAGCAGATGAAGTAAACACTGTCCACTTGATTACTGAATTCCAAAGACACTCATTCCCATTTACATACTTGGGCTATCCTATATTCTACAGCAGGAGGAGGAAAGACTTTTATAAGAATAGCATCTTCAAAGTACAAGAGAGGTTATCATCATGGAAGGGTAAGTTACTATCAATTGGTGGTAGAGTAGTTCTGATCTCTCATGTGTTGAAGAGTATGCCAATCCATCTCTTGTCAGCTGTGAATCCACCAACATATGTGATCAACCAATTGCACAAGATGTTTGCTAGGTTTTACTGGAGTAATTCAAGCAATGGAAGGGAAAGACATTGGGCTTCATGGGACAACTTATGTCTTACTAAAAGTGAGGGAGGTATGGGTTTCAGATCCTTACATGATGTGTCTACGACTTTGTTTGCCAAGCTTTGGTGGAACTATAGAACAAAAGACTCATTATGGTCTAAATTTAAGAGAAATAAGTACTGCAAGAAGATCAATGAGGTGTTAGTACCTTGGAGACAAGGATCTCAAGTATGGAGAAAAATGTTGTAAATGAGATATGAGGTGGAGCATAAAGTGTGGTGGCAGTTGAAGAATGGCAACTCCTATTTATGGTATGACAATTGGACTAGACTTGGAGCTCTTTACCATGCTTCAGGTCCAGATCATTAGTGTGATGAATCTATAAAGCATATTGATGAAGTGGTTGAAAATGGGGCATGGAATGAACTGCTACTAAGGGAACTACTTCTTGATGAGCTAGCTGACCATATTCTGGAGACAATCACACCATATTTAGATCTTTCAATGAAAGATAAGCCTTGGTGGAAGCTGGAAACAAAGGGATATTTTACAGTGACGTATGCTTGGCAATATATAAGGAAGAGAAGAGAAGAAAGCAAGTTATACAAATTCTTTTGGGTAAAGGGGCTGCCTTTCAAGATAAGTTTCTTTATGTGGGGACTGTGGAAGGCAAAGTTACCATTGGATAACTGGTTTCTAAGGCTGGGATATTTCAGAACATCAAGGTGTTGGTGTTGTAGGAATCCTAAAGAAGAGGCACTGCCTCCTGTGTTTCTAACATCACCAGCTGCAAGATATGTTTGGAATTATTATAGTGCACATGCAGGGATTAGAACAAATGGGAAGCAACTTGTGCAAGTGATAAATGAATGGTAGAGAAAACCTGTTAATACAAGCTTGAAGACAGTATATCAAGTTATGCCAAGTTTGATTGTTTGGCATTTGTGGAAGAAGAGAAATTCTGGAAAGCATGGGAATAATGTGTCTATAAATAGATTGATCTTTCAAATCTCAACCTCAATTCAAATGCTGCTAAAGGTGAGAAGACCAGGCTTTAAGGGTGTTACTGCATACTGGCCATACTTGCATGAGAAGTTGTCACAACATATTCCTAAATTGAGGTATACTAAGGTGTTATGGGAATTACCTCCTGTGGGGTGGATAAAATGCAATACTGATAGGGCATGTAGAGGTGGCAATTGAGGAACATCATATGGCTTTTGTATAAGGGACGGAATAGGAGATATTATCTATGCACATGCAGATACAGATGAGGATGCAACTAATAATGTAGCTGAGGCACATGCCATTCTGAAGGCTCTAAGGTACATAACTCAAATGCAATTTCCTCCATGCATAATTGATACTGATTCTTTACTTATGAAGAGAGTGCTAGATGAAGATTGGGAACCACCTTGGAGCATTGCTAATCAAATGGATGAAATCAAAACACTACTGTCTAAGGGTGCTTTTCAAATATTTCATGTGTTGAGAGAATGTAATAAGTTGGCTGATCATTTAGCTAATTTGACATTGGATCAGCAACACATTGTACAGGTGCATTCCTTTTGGGAACTGGACACACAAGGGAGAAGGATATTGAATAATGACAAGCTTCAAATACCCTACATAAGGGTAAGAACTACCAAGTCAAATGCTAATTGATGATGGAATTGGAAGATAAGATGAAGAGTAAGGGGGAGTATCTTATAGCTAAGAGGAGGAGGAGGAGAATGTATCATGGAAGAATGAGACAAACTATAGGGGATGGAGATCACATTACACTTCCAACTCAAATCCTTAGGAACGAGAGAAGGAAGGATTTTTCCTCTAACATGTTTTCTGATTTTGCAGGCACTTTGGAAGGGGCTTGGCTCTATGTTTTAGCCAAACCTATTAGGGTGGTATTAGTATCTTTGATACTCATTCCTTATAGGTGCAACCACTACTTAGGCCATCCTAAAAGCACACTCAATAAGGCAAAAAAAAGGTTGCACATTAGCCTTAATATTTGGATCCACATACATGCCCAGGATGATGAAAACGGGGAAGATTATACTATAAAATGCAAACTCCTTTGCATCTACTACTCCCTAAGGATCACACAAGATAATACTAGCATAGCACATCAAGTCACAATGATCAGTTACATGCGCAACTATTTTCTATTGCCCAGATCAGATATGACTACCCATGGGACTTCTCAGCTTTATGCGGATCATTTTAGCAATATTTGGAGGAGCTACCAGCTACAATGGATATCTACCACACATGAGGAAGCTACCAACAGAAGGAGCGCGTAACAAAGAGTTAAATTCGCAACAACACCATTACTGTCTTGACCTGGACTTGCATTTTGGAAGGTTTTGCGTGTAATCAGCTTACAAAGCAATCATTGTCAAACTTATATTTCTTTCAAAGAGATCAGGTGGAGATGCCTAATCCTCAAGATAACAAGTGCAAATGCCCACAATCGAAAGCAATGAGAGACAGTTATTCAATAATTTTTTGCGAGTCATGTGCAAATAGGCATCTTCAAGGATTATGGTTCTTAGTTCTTTTTGTACTATCAAAGGAATAATTTACATATGAATTTGATATTAGGCTTCACGTACTTTTATTTTTTACGCACTTTCATTTTGTGAGACCTCCAGACTCATTGTTGTTTTATTTTGATTATTAATAAAAACACCACTAGGCAACCAACCTTGTGGTATATTTGCTTAAAACAAATTAGCCACAATTTCAAAAGTAACCGAAATTTAGCCATTTTTTTCATATAAAAATAAAATTTGAACCAAAACACACTTTAAAAATTCAAAAAATTCCAGCATAATATGCTGGAGTTCAAATTTGTTACATATAAGATTCCAGCATAATGTATTGGAATTTCATAATGTGTTGGAGTTCCAACATAATATGCTGAAAATTTATATGGAGGAGTAACATAATCCAGCATATTATGTTGGAACTTTTCGTGTTTCAGCTAAGATATTTTTTTTCCAGATTTTATCTCCGTATAAAATAGTGCCTATTTTTCAATGAGTTTACAAATACTGGTACTGACTATTTTTAATTACCAGTCCAAAAACTAGCTAGCCCATGCTAAATAGCACAGGCTAGCCAGTTTTCGGACTGGTCATTCAAAAATAGCAGGCGTTTGCCAAGTCACTAAAAAATAGCCACTATTTTGCTGCAACAGAGACCGGTCCAGCATAATATACTGGAGTTCGGTGCACCTGTGTATGAACTTCCAGTATATTATGCTGGACCGGCATACTTTGCTGGCTCCAGTATATTATACTGGAATTCCAATATATTATGCTGGAGTATTTTCCAGTTTTGAACAGTATTTTCGTTCAGATTTATCCTTACATGAAAAGTGACTAAATTTGATGACTTTTGAAACTGTGGTTATTTTTGAATGACCACTTGTAAATCTGACTATTTTTTAATTTCTCCCTATTTTTACCCAAGATGTAACATCGACAGGCCCAAAATAATGTTGAAGTTGAAGAGCTTTTAAATTAGGAATTTTACGCTTTATATCGATTGCAAAGGAAGCTTTACCGCACATTATATGGTTTGATCATTTTCATTCCTATAACTAGGCGCGTTCAAGAAAAATCCAAAAACCAAATCAATTCTAAACTTTATATATTTTTAGCCATAAAAAAGTCATCTAGGTACACTCAAGACTTGAGTTCTTTATTCTTCTATATCGAAGTTATTTAGGACATTAGGATAGTGTCTGAATCAATTTGTCCGAACTTTGACTATTTTGTAGTATAGATATTGAATGAATGTAGGTACCAAGTTACTCTTATAAAAAAAAAATAATTAGGAAAAGAAAAAGAATTACCTAACCTTTTAGCCTCTTCTGGTGAGAAAGGTTTTTCGATTTTTACAATAACTGAAAAAACATCTCCAGATTTAACTTCCAGCTGACCATCTTCCTACTATAGTAATAACTGAAAAAAACATCGCAAGACCAACAAAGGAACAGAATAGAAATCATGTTACTGTGGAAACATCCACCTGAAATGAAAACAATTGTTCCATATTGATTACAAGCATTTGGAAGAATAGCGATTTTCAACTTTTATACCACCCACAATGATTTACTCAGCTATCGAAGATTACTAAAACAAGATCAGCTAATGAAGAATGTAACAACACCCTCTCCCCACCAAAGAAAAAGAGAAAATTCCCTCATATGAACCTAAGTGCTTCAGCTACTGTTTCCTACTTTTTCCTTTCTTTGCCTTTTCCTTTTCCTGCATTTTCTTTCTCTTAGCTTCTGCTGAGATCCAACTGTAATCTTGAGGGACTGCAAAGGGATCTTGAATGTTTTCGATCCTATTACTTGGACTGCCTGTGGAAGAAGTTGGCCGATGATACGGGGCTTTTATCCACTGAAACCATGACGAACTTGACGGCTGCACCACTGTTGGACTCTCCCTCCCTGAAGCAGTAGGGCTGGAAGGAGGAGTCTCGAACTCATCTAGCGGCTGTAATTCTTCAAACTTAGTGAAAGTCACCAATACTCTAATTGTTGGAACAACCGGAATAGCTACCTGTTACGTAGAAAGGGATTCTCAGTAGAGTAACTTAACAAATAGGCAATTAATATTAAAGGTTGTACGTTCCATGTGTATGTGTATATGAGCATTTAGAGATCTAAGACCTTCAACAAATAGCTTAGTTTCTATTGAGAGTTGACAATTCATGTCAAAAGTTTCTATACTAGTAAAAAAGAAAGAAGTTTCCACGATTATCTCTGGGAATAAATTTATCGGAATCTTCATAGTATGAATGCATCTGATGATTGCTTTTCTAGGAATGATGTTCAGCTGCAAGTTCCACCTTTATTCCAAAGGGGATTAGGCCAGCCATACTACCCTCCGGGGTAAACTCCTCCCGGCTACTGTACTTTTTGCTCCAAATTACCCCGCGCCTTAATCTATGCAAGCTACAGGGTCTCTTTTACTACCAGTCTGTTATCTAGTGGCATCAGATAGTCCTAGAAAAACTACATTAATTGTTCCCTCATTATAGTTAAGAGCTGCAATATACAACCTTCTAGGTATAAGTCTAAGCAAAAAGTAGCTTCATACAGCTTGACCATGAAAAACATTAACAGCAATGATGCCAATCTTAATTTTTTTTTTGATAATTGTGGTGTCCGGCTTGCGCGCATCTCGACTAATTCCACAGGATATGTGTCACCTCCCACCAGCAACAGATACGAGGTAACTCTATCCGCCAAGGCTTGGACAGATGGGAAGAAATCACCTTGTGTTTTTTGCCTCTGCTGGGATTTGAGACCTCATGGTTCTCACCTACTTCATTGACCACTAGGCCACACCCTCGGGTTCTAGCAATGATGCGTATCTTACCATTCAATTTGCACTTGTGTACCAGCTCCGTTTTATTAATGATTCATACACATCAAGAAGTTCTAAATTCAAACCTCAAGGGTTTAAGTCATGAGTACCCAAAGAGTTTCACACTTGTGGTTTAATGGTTGCACACACCATGAACTTACAAAGCTTTACTCCTGCTTTGATGCCTATTTAAGTTCTATTGCGTTGAGATCCTTTTTCTACATTATGTTTAATTGGTCTGTATTGGAAGTTTTCACTCCAATCCTTCAATACTAAATCATAAGTACCTAGAGAGTTCAAACTTATGGGTTATGGATGCACAGATAGCAATATTTAGGTTGACCACTGAAGAGAGTCTAACAGCAGACAACCACCACCATTATATCTGCTCCGTTCCAAATACAGGCTAGAATAATCTGCATGTAGTCCAACGTTCATTTCAACATACACCAACCTAAAATAAAATTTTGACCAAAAAATCTGAAAATATTCTGTAGTTACATTCCACTAGACTTTGTTCAAGCATAACAGATGAATATCTGGGGTTTAAGTTGCATCCATTGTGACTTTAGTGCACTTTGCAACATAACGGATCCCGAGGAACTAACCTTGTGCATTATAACCTCATCATACTTGTGAATTCTTTTTGAAAAAGTTTTTGTTTAGAAGGCCTCATTCCCTGTGAATTCTTGTCTTTCTTATCTTGGAAAAAGCCACAGCTTTTTCATAATCAATAACATTCACTTCCCAAAATTAAGATTTTCAGATATTGCCTTAGTTCAATAACCAATATTTCTCAACAAACTGTATAAAAACGAATCCTACATTAGGACATTTACAGTTTACTACCTATAAAAAAATCATAATTACGGACTAGCAACTTCTAGTTCAAGAGCATGATCAAAATACAAAGTTTTAAAGAAATCCAACACTTACTATTTTAAGTTTTTGTAACTCTATTTATTTTGCTCATGGAGAATGGATAAGTGTCAGTGAGGACTATACATAACAAACATATTACTATTCAAACCTAATGAAAATTCAAAATCACATGAGTGCGAGACTAGGAGCTCAATTTCTACAGCAAGTACATGACGCATACCTTAACTGGGAAAGTTCCTTTTGGAAGTTTTGTTGTGAGCATTTCCCTCAACCGCCGGATAGCTTTAACTTTGTTGGCTAGAATGTCAAGCAAAGGAAGGAGCTCTTCAGTTTTCAATGGGAAATCTGGAGACAGCCAAAGAACAGGCCTCAATCCTTTCTTATACTCATTTTCTCGGCCTCCATCTTTGCGCCGATTTCCATTTTCAGCAACGCTAGATGTAGAAGCCTTTGCATCTCTTCCTAGTCTAAACTCATCCCTCGTCGCTCTGACATCCACAGAATGCCTCCCCGGCCTAGTTTCTAAAGGCGGAGAACCCTCAAGATGATTGCCGACCTTCTCCTCAATGCATACGGAACTTCTTGGGGGGACAACTCTTTTCTCCCCTTCTGGCTTAATATCCCGTTTCCTCCAATTGTTAAACCATCTCTTCTTTTCCTGCTTACTGTCGTCATTCCTGCAACCATTTATCTCCTCGATGGGAATATCCCTTTGTTCATAACAACTGTGGCGATGTGCAATGATCCCACCATCCCCATTCTCATCTGAAGAGTCCAACTTGAGCGCAACCTCAAGCTGCTTTCTTTCTTCCTCTGTCAGGATATCATCAAACTCTTCACTCTCTGTTTCATTTTCGTTGCAAGAATTGAAGAATTCGTCATCCGTCATAGCTCCAGGGACCCGCCTTGATTTTATGCTCACAACCACATTATGCATATCATATACTTTAGCTTTCCAGGAACCTACCATCTCCGTTTTCTCCTGGCGCCTCCATGTTGTTTGTGGTAAAAGAACTGCTTCAGTGACATCAATCCCAGGCCTGAATATGTTCGTTTGAGACATCGCAGCAACTTCTTGCTGTACTTCTGCCTCGGTCGCTGGAGCTCCAGCACCGTCTAAAGCATTCATAATTTCCTTTTCTTTATGTGAGATCATGCAAAGTGATCCGGGAGGGACTTTACCATCTTCGGAACCATCACCAAGGAAAAGAATGCTCTGATCAGATCGCTGAATTCGGAACCCATCAAATCCAGCCAGAGTCATATCAGCCCTTAAATTTGCACCCCTCTTCCAAATCTTATATGTATCTGAAGGGGCAATCCTAGAAATGAAAGGTATAACAGAGCTCTCAAAGTGAAATGTTATTTCCATATAAAAATCCCTCATCCTCCTCATTGTCGCAATCAACCGAGGTAACCTTCTACACCATTTTGCCCAAGCCAAAGGCTGGTAGTGCCTAACTATGATCTTCGCAATCCTTTCTTCCTTATTACATATTGCCTCCTGTAGGGCACTCCAACCATGTTCATTTTGCAAGCTCCAATCTGCACCGGCAAGCATAAGCATCTCGGTTGCAGTCTCATCACCAAGTTTGACAGCCAAATGAAGAGGGCTATCCCGGTTGGGGACATCCCGTCGATCAATCACTGCAGAAATAGCATCAGCCTTAACCTCCTCAGTCAGTGATAATGATTCAGTATGAATCTCAGCAGGATCACAAAGGCGCGGCAACGCAGCAATTATCTTCCTCAGAGAGGCATAATCTTTCAAGACTAGAGCTTTGTGCACAGGGCTATGTGCATACTTTGAAACATCAATACCAGCCATGCCTCAGGGAATACTCTCTATAGTTACACTACAAACCCAACCCAATCATCAAAGCAGTAAAGCAAACACCTCTCCACCCAAATCAACACTATACAAACAACAGACAAATGCTGTAAATTGCCACTAATAGAATACCCTTAAAGAATCAATCTTTACCACTTAAACCACAACATGTACTAATTTCTCCAGACACCCTTTACACAAAACAAGAAAATGAACAAAGTCTTTCCCAAAATCATTCATACCAAGTTCAAAAATTACACCAATTGAAACAAGAAAACAATACTCACCCACAAAAAGAACAAATTTTTACCACAAATAACAAAGGTATGGAATCTTTAAGGGGGACCCAAGAGTAAAAAAGTCAAGAAATCACACACCTTGTTGTTGTTCTTGTACAACCACAGAAAAAAGATCCAAAATTGGTTAGCCAAAAAAGGCACAACCCCTTAACTCCTGAACCCACAAACTAATTAACCCCTTATTAGCAAATAGAAAAAAGAACAAAGGGAGATCTTGGTGATCGGATCCAGATCAGACAAACTCCAAAAACATGCATGTGGGGTGGTGCAAGAGTCTTGAAAAAAAAAAAAAAAGGGAACACTTTTCTTTTTTTTCTTTTTTTTTTAATGCAAGAATTTTATAAGGAAATTGTGAGGAATTTTTGAGAGAATCTTGATAAAGCAAAAACCCAAAACTGAAAGGTTGTCAACTGTCAATGAAGAAAAGAATCAAATGAAATAAAAGTATGCAACCCCACTAGTCAAGCAAAGGAGGGACATAAATTGTTTCACATAAAAAGGGAATAAAATCACTCTTTCCTGAGAGAAAAATAGGAAAGAAAAATTTCCAGTTTTAAAAATGAAAAACAAGAAAGGAAAAATATTTACCCCTTTTTTTCCTTTTTTACCCAAGAAAATTTTTAAATGGGTGATTTGGAGTAACAAGAAATCAAACGTTACTCTCCTATGGGGGTGTTTAAGTGTTTTTGTGCAGGGGGGTGGGTGGGGGAGGGGGTCTAAAAAAGGTAAGTGCTGCATGTGAGCCTAAAAAGAGGGAACTTGCTTTCCTATTTCCACATTTTATTAAATGCCATTTATTTTCGTTTTGGCAGGTTGAAAATTTAAATTTCTTTCTTTAAATGCTGAATTTTGTTTTCTTCTTTTTTTACAATGTTGAAGTTAATAAATTACTACTAATATTTATTTTTTTGAATGAGGAAAGAGAGATGCCACATGCTTGGATGAGGGCTCAAGAAGAGTGGAGTAGGATAGGTCAACTAGGTTTGTCAGATTTATTGGGTCTGCTCTTGACCCGACCC